CACTCAGGGTGGTCACTCAGGGTGGTCACTCAAGGTGGTCACTCTCAAGGTGGTCACAGGGTCAAGGTGGTCACTCTCAGGGTGGTCAAGGTGCTCATGGTCAAGGTGGTCACTCTGGTCATGGTTAAGGTGGTCACTGTCCAGGTGGTTGCAAGGTCCAGGTGGTCACTCTCAGGGTGGTCACTGCCCAGGTGGTCACAGGTCCAGGTGGTCCCAATGTCCAGTTGGTCACTCTCAGGGTGGTCATGGTGCTCATGGTCAAGGTGGCTCCAAGGTGCAGGTGGTCAAGGTGGTCATGAAGCCCAGGTGGTCACTCTCAAGGTGGTCGCAGGGTCCAGGTGGTCACAGGTCCAGGTGGTTCCAATGTCCAGTTGGTCACTCTCAGGATGGTCCAGGTGGTCCCAAGGTGCAGGTGGTCACTCTCAGGGTGGTCACTCTCAGGGTGGTCACGTCCAGGTGGCCCCAAGGTCCAGGTGGTCACTCTGGCCGGAGAATTTCCAGGAGAGCTTTTCCCATGGGAGTGACCAGCAGCGACCATTGGAATTCCACCTGATCCAGGTGGGACCGGGTGGGGTCAGGTGAGCTCGGGTGGGACCAGGTGAGCCCAGGTGAGCTCAGGTGAGCACAGGTGAGTTCAGGTTGGACCAGGTGAGCTGAGGTGGGACCAGCTAGGAACAGGTAAACTCAGGTGGGGTCAGGTGAGACCAGGTAGGAGCAGGTGGAGCCAGGTGGTTTCAGGTGAGCTCAGGTGGGACCAGGTGGGGTCAGGTGAGACCAGGTGGGGTCAGGTGGGCTCAGATGGGCTCAGGTGGGATCAGGTGGGACCAGGTGGGATCAGGTGAGCTCGGGTGGGACCAGGTGGGACCAGGTGGGATCAGGTGGGACCAGGTGAGCTCAGGTGGGCTCAAGTGTTTTCAGGTGAGCTCAGGTGGGACCAGGGGGAGCCAGGTGAACTCAGGTGGGACCAGGTGAGCTCAGGTGGGCTCAAGTGTTTTCAGGTGAGCTCAGGTGGGACCAGGGGGAGCCAGGTGAACTCAGGTGGGACCAGGTGAGCTCAGGTGGGCTCAAGTGTTTTCAGGTGAGCTCAGGTGGGACCAGGTGAGCTCAGGTGGGACCAGGTGAGCTCAGGTGGGACCAGGTGGGATCAGGTGAGCTCAGGTGAGCACAGGTGAGCTCAGGTGAGACCAAAGCTCCTCCAGGATGTCCCCACGGTCCGTGGGAGGAGTTCCGGGATTCCAGAGCCAGGGAGGTTCCCTCGTCCCCACCAGTCCAAACCAGTCCCACCAGTCCGGTGGGGCCGATGTCCCAATCCTGAGACACCGGAGACACCTGGGCCGGCATGGAGGGGAGGGGCCACCGAGGGACGGGGGCGTGGCCTCCAGGTGGCCACGGGGCCCAGGTGGCCACAGGTCCAGGTGGTCACAAGTCCAGGTGGCCACAGGTCCAGGTGGTCACTCTCAGAGTGGTCCAGGTGGTCACTATCCAGGTGGTCACAAGGTCCAGGTGGTCACTCTCAGAGTGGTCCAGGTGGTTACAGGGTCCAGGTGGCCACGGGGCCCAGGTGGTCACTCTCAGAGTGGTCCAGGTGGTCCCAAGGTCCAGGTGGTCACAAAGTTCTGGTGGTCACTCTCAAGGTGGTCAAGGTGGTCACTGTCCAGGTGGTCACTGTCCAGGTGGTACCAAGGTCCAAGTGGTCACAGGGCCCAGGTGGTCACCGGTCTCAGGTGGTCACTCTCAAGGTGGTCAAGGTGGTTGTGAAGTCCAGGTGGTCGCTCTCAGGGTGGTCATAGGGTCAAGGTGGTCACTGTCCAGGTGGTCACAAAGTCCAGGTGGTCACTCTCAAGGTGGTCACTCTCAAGGTGGTCACTGTCCAGGTGGCCACAAGGGCCAGGTGGTCACTGTCCAGGTGGTCACAAAGTCCAGGTGGTCACTCTCAAGGTGGTCACTCTCAAGGTGGTCAAGGTGGTCACTGTCCAGGTGGTTCCAAGGTGTAGGAGGTCACAAGGTCCAGGTGGTCACTCTCAAGGTGGTCACAGCTGAGGTGGTCACTGTCCCAGTGGTCACAATGTCCAGGTGGCCACAAGGGTCAGGTGGTCACAAGGATCAGGTGGTCACTGTTCCGGTGGTCACTGTCCAGGTGGTCACAATGTCCAGGTGGCCACAAGGGTCACGTGGCCCAAAGAACCAGGTGATCATGGCCAAGGTGGACACAGGGTCCAGGTGGTCATTTGGGCCCAGGTGGTCACTGTCCAGGTGGTCACTGTCCAGGTGGTCACTGTGCAGGTGGCCCCAAGGTCCAGGTGGTCACTGTGCAGGTGGTCACTGTCCAGGTGGTCACTCTCCAGGTGGTCACTGTCCAGGTGGTCACTGGTCCAGGTGGTCACTGTCCAGGTGGTCACAGGTCCAGGTGGTCACTGTCCAGGTGGTCACTGTCCAGGTGGTTCACTTGCCAGGTGGTCACAGGTCCAGGTGGTCACTGTCCAGGTGGTCACTGTCCAGGTGGTCACTGTGCAGGTGGTCAAGGAGCCCTTTCCAAAGTGACCACAGGGGACCCCAGGTGGCCCCAGGTGACCCCGGCCACACCTGGACCTCCCATTGCTCATTGCTGGACACCCATTGCTGGGTGTGGTCGGAATGTCCTGGGCAGGTGAGACCCTGACCACACCCAGGTGAGACCCTGACCCCACCCAGGTGAGACCCTGACCCTGCCCAGGTGAGACCCTGACCCCACCCAGGTGAGACCCTGACCCTGCCCAGGTGAGACCCTGACCCCACCCAGGTGAGACCCTGACCCTGCCCAGGTGAGACCCTGACCCCACCCAGGTGAGACCCTGACCCTGCCCAGGTGAGACCCTGACCCCACCCAGGTGAGACCCTGACCCTGCCCAGGTGAGACCCTGACCCCACCCAGGTGAGACCCTGACCCTGCCCAGGTGAGACCCTGACCCCACCCAGGTGAGACCCTGACCCTGCCCAGGTGAGACCCTGACCCCACCCAGGTGAGACCCTGACCCTGCCCAGGTGAGACCCTGACCCCACCCAGTGAGACCCTGACCGCACCCAGTGAGACCCTGACCACACCCAATCGAGCCACGTGACCTCTCGATGACGTCACACCTCCCGGCACACCTGATTGGCCGCTCGGCCAGCTGAGGCGTCACGTGACCACACCTGGCCCCTCCCAAACCCCGGGAGCCCCCGGGGGGTCCCGGCATCGACATTTTGGGGATTTTGGGATTTTCTGACCCCAAAAATTCCATTTTTCCCTTTTTTGGTCCATTTTTCCCCATTCCCCCCCGATTTTCTTCCTTTTCTCCCCCAAACTCCCTAAAATTTCCTCATTTTTAGGTCACTTCCTCATTTTCTCCCTTTCTCCCCCTTTTTAATTTTTTCCTCCATTTTTCTGTCATTTTTCCTTTTTTACCCAGATTTTTTTTTGCAATTTTTCTCCTTTTATTTCACCTTTTCCCACCATTTTTTCTCCATTTTTTGGACAAAATTCCCATTTTTTCTCCCCATTTTTTCCCTGTTTTTTTTTCCTCCAGTTTTTATTCTATTTCCCCCCACCCTCCTCCCTTCTTTTGCCATTTCCCCCATTTTTAAACTATTTTTTTCACAGTTTTTCTTCATTTTCCCCATTTTCCCACCTTTTCCCAATTTTCTCACCTTTCTTTCACTGATTTCCCCCATTTTTCCTCAATTTCCCCCATTTTTCCCCATTTTCTCCCATTTTTCACCGTTTCCCCCATTTTTTCCCTCGCTTCCTCCCCTTTTTCCCAATTTCCCCATTTCCCCCATTTTTTCTCATTTTTTTCCCCATTTTCTCTCCCATTTTCCCCCCGTTTTTCCCATTTTTCCCCCATTTTCCCCATTTTCTCAGTTTTTCCCCATTTTTCCCCCAGTTTTCCCCATTTTTCCCCATTTTCTCACCATTTTTTCACTGTTTTTTCCCATTTTTCCCTCATTTTTTTCTCATTTTTCCCCATTTTCCCTGCTTTTTCCCCAGTTCCTGAGCAGGATGAGTCATGGATCTTTCCCCCATTTTTTCCCATTTTTTTCCGAATTTTTTCACTGGTTTTTCCCCATTTTTTCCATTTTCTCACCATTTGTCCCCATTTTATTCCCATTTTTTTCCCGCTTTCTCACCGTTTTCTCCCATTTTTTTCTGTTCCCAAGGAGGACGAGTCACAGATTTTTCCCCCCATTTTTTCCCTTTTTTTCCCGCTTTCTCACCGTTTTCTCCCCTTTTTTTCTGCTCCCAAGGAGGACGAGGCACAGATCTTTCCCCCAGTTTTTCCCTTTTTTCCCCATTTTTGCTCCCATTTTTTTCCATTTCCCCCCATTTTTTCCCTTTTTTCCCCATTTTTGCTCCCATTTTTTTTCCATTTCCCCCCATTTTTTCCCATTTTATTCCATTTTTTCTCCATTTTCTCCCCATTTTCCCCCATTTTTTCCCTTTTTTCCCCATTTTTGCTCCCATTTTTTTTCCATTTCCCCCCATTTTTTGCAGTTCCCCAGGAGGACGAGTCACAGATCTTTCCCCCATTTTTTCCCTATTTTTTACCCATTTTTTCTCCCATTTTTTCTCCATTTTCTCACCATTTTCCCCCATTTTTTCCCATTTTTCACCATTTTTCCCATTTTCTCCCATTTTTCACCATTTTTTCCCATTTTCTCCCCATTTCCCCCCATTTTTTGCAGTTCCCAAGGAGAACGAGTTGCGGATCTTTCCCCCATTTTTTCCCTTTTTTTCCCCTCATTTTTCTCCCATTTTCTCCATTTCCCCCCATTTTCCCACCGTTTTTGGCCATTTTTCCCCATTTCCCCCCCATTTTCTCCCCATTTTCCCCCATTTTTTGCTGTTCCCGAGGAGGACAAATCACAGATCTCAGGTAACACACACCTGAGATACACGTGGGATACACCTGGGGGCACCTGGGACAGGTAACACACACCTGGAGCAGGTTGCACACACACCTGGGATACACCTGGGGGCCCAGTGGGTGCTGACGGCCGCGCACTGCCGGCAGCCAATCAGGTGAGAGACACACCTGGGACAGGTAACAACACCTGAGATACACCTGGGACAGGTAACGCACACCTGAGATACACCTGGGCACACCTGGGGACACCTGGGCATAGCTGGGCACACCTGGGACAGGTAACACACACACCTGGGCACACCTGAGGGCACACTGGTCCCGACGGCCTCGCAGTGCCAGCAGCCAATCAGGTGAAGCTCACCTGGGCACACCTGGGCACACCTGGAACAGGTTACACACACACCTGGGCACACCTGGGATCCACCTGGGCACACCTGGGACAGGTTACTCACACACCTGGGGTACATCTAGAGGCATCTGGGATACACCTGGCTGGGTGGAGTCCTGTGTCACCTGTCTCACCTGTCCTGTCTCACCTGTTCCATCTCATCAAGGTGTCCCCTGTCACCTGTCCTGTGTCACCTGTATCTCACCTGTCCCTCTCACCTTTCAGGGAGCTGCAGGTGCTGATCGGCACCAACACGCTGCGGGCAGGTACGGGCCAGGTGCGCCGCGTCTCGCGCCTGCAGGTGCACCCCGGCTACAACCCGCGGCGCAACGACAACGACTTCATGCTGCTGCACCTGGACGCACCTGTGCGCTTCGGGCCGCGCGTCAAGAAGATCCGCGTGGCCACCAGGTGTCCCCGGGCGGGGCAGAACTGCAGCGTCAGCGGCTGGGGCACCACCGAGTCACCTGGAGGTACCTGGGCACACCTGGGGGGGTGGGAGGGCTCAGGTGAGGTCACAAGTGAGGTCACAGGTGTTTCGCAGGTGTATGTCAGATGAGGTCACAGGTGTGTCCCAGGTGAGTCCCAGGTGTCCCCGGGCGGGGCAGAACTGCAGCGTCAGCAGCTGGGGCACCACCGAGTCACCTGGAGGTACCTGGGCACACCTGGGCACACCTGGGCACATCTGGGGGGGCTCAGGGGATACCTGGCAGGGCTCTCAGGTGAGTTTTCCAGAGCTCTTTATGAGAGCAGATGAGGTCTCAGGTGGGGTCTCAGGTGTCGTCTTAGGTGGGGCCTCAGGTGAGGTGCCTTGTGTCCCCCAGGTGTCCCCCAGGTGTGCCCCAGGTGGGTTCCCAGGTGTGGTCTCAGGTGAGCTTTATGGAGCTCTTTATTGAGATCAGGGGGGTCCCAGGTGCGTCCCAGGTGAGGTCAGAGGTGAGGTCAGAGGTGAGGTCACAGGTGAGGTCACAGGTGAGGTCACACGTGAGCCCCAGGTGAGGTCAGAGGTGTATCTCAGATGAGGTCACAGGTGAGGTCACAGGTGAGGTCACAGGTGTGTCCCAGGTGTATCTCAGGGGAGGTCAGAGGTGAGGTCACAGGGGAGCCCCAGGTGAGGTCACAGGTGAGGTCACAGGTGTGTCCCAGGTGTCCCCGGGCGGGCCAGAACTGCAGCGTCAGCGGCTGGGGCACCACCGAGTCACCTGGAGGTACCTGGGCACAGGTGGGGGGGGTCAGGGGGGTCCCAGGTGAGGTCACAGGTGAGCCTCAGGTGTGTCCCAGGTGAGCCCCAGGTGAGGTCCCAGGTGAGGTCACAGGTGAGGTCACAGGGTTCCACCAAGGGTGGGATCGGTCCCAGAATGGGGCAAATCCAGGGGATTTTGGGTTCCAGATAACCAAAAATGGGGATTTGGGTTTTTTTCCCTCACCTGTGCTCACCTGGACGGGTCCAGGAAGGGTTTGGGTTCCAGAATGGGGCAAATCCAGGGAATTTTGGGTTCCATTGACCCAAAAATGGGGAATTTTTGGGATTTTTCAGTCCCACCTGTCTCACCTGTGCTCACCTGGACGGGTCCAGGAAGGGTTTGGGTTCCACCAAGGGGGGGATCGGTCCCAGAATGGGGCAAATCCAGGGGATTTGGGGTTCCAGATAACCAAAAATGGGGATTTGGGGTTTTTTCCCTCACCTGTGCTCTCCTGGACGGGTCCAGGAAGGGTTTGGGTTCCACCAAGGGGGGGATCGGTCCCAGAATGGGGCAAATCCAGGGGATTTTGGGTTCCATTGCCCCAAAAATGGGGAATTTTGGGGATTTTTCAGTCTCACCTGTCTCACCTGTCTCACCTGTGTCTCACCTGTGCTCACCTGGACGGGTCCAGGAAGGTTGGGAATGGTCCCAGAATGGGGCAAATCCAGGGAATTTTGGGTTCTGCTGACCCAAAAATGGGGATTTTTTGGTCTCTTTGACCCAAAAATGGGGAATTTTTGGGATTTTTCAGTCTCACCTGTCTCACCTGTCTCACCTGTGCTCCTCTGTCTCGCCTATGCTCACCTGTGCTCACCTGGACGAGTCCAGGAAGGGTTTGGGTTCCAGAATGGGGCAAATCCAGGGAATTTTGGGTTCTGCTGACCTGAAAAAGGGGATTTTTCAGTCTCACCTGTCTCACCTGTCTCACCTGTGCTCCTCTGTCTCACCTGTGCTCACCTGTGCTCCTCTGTCTCACCTATGCTCACCTGTGCTCACCTGGACGAGTCCAGGAAGGGTTTGGGTTCCAGAATGGGGCAAATCCAGGGAATTTTGGGTTCCATTGACCCAAAAATGGGGAATTTTTGGGATTTTTCAGTCTCACCTCTGTCCCCCCCATCTCACGTCCAGGAAGGTTGGGAATGGTCCCAGAATGGGGCAAATCCAGGGAATTTTGGGTTCCGCTGACCCAAAAATGGGGAATTTTTTGTCTCTTTGACCCAAAAAGGGGATTTGGGGGATTTTCTCTCTTACCTGTGCTCACCTGTCTCTTCTGTCCCACCTGTGTCTCACCTGTGCTCACCTGGACGGGTCCAGGAAGGTTTCAGGTTCCAGAATGGGGCAAATCCAGGGAATTTTGGGTTCTGCTGACCCAAAAATGGGGAATTTTTTGTCTCTTTGACCCAAAAAAGGGAATTTGGGGATTTTCTCTCTCACCTGTCTCACCTGTGCTGCTCTGTCTCACCTGTCTCACCTGTGCTCACCTGGATGGGTCCAGGAAGGGTTCGGGTTCCAGAATGGGGCAGATCCAGGGAATTTTGGGTTCTGCTGACCTGAAAAAGGGGATTTTTGGGATTTTTCAGTCTCACCTGTCTCACCTGTCTCACCTGTGTCTCACCCGTCTCACCTGTGCAGCCAAGCTGCCGCGGGACCTGCAGTGCGCGCAGGTGCAGACCTTCGGGCCGGAGCAGTGCGCCCGCGCCTACGGCAGCGCCGTCACCCGCAACATGTTCTGCGCAGGTGTGCCCCAGGGCGGCGTCGACTCCTGCCAGGTGAGTGCCAGGTGTGACAGGTGTGTGCCAGGTGTATGCCAGGTGTGTGCCAGGTGTGTGCCAGGTGTGCCCGGTGTGTGCCAGGTGTGTGCCAGGTGTGCCCGGTGTGTGCCAGGTGTGTGCCAGGTGTGACAGGTGGATGCCAGGTGAGACAGGTGTGGGCCACGTCACCCGCAACATGTTCTGCGCAGGTGTGCCCCAGGGCGGCGTCGACTCCTGCCAGGTGAGTGCCAGGTGTGACAGGTGTGTGACAGGTGTGTGACAGGTGTGTGACAGGTGTGTGCCAGGTGTGTGAGGTGTGTGACAGGTGTGTGCAGGTGTGTGACAGCTGTGTGCAGGTCTGTGCCAGGTGTGTGCCAGGTGTGTGGTGCCAGGTGTGTGCCAGGTGAGTGCCAGGTGTGTGCCAGGTGTGTGACAGGTGTGTGACAGGTGTGTGCCAGGTGTGTGAGGGGTGTGACAGGTGTGTGCCGGTGTGTGACAGGGGTGGTCACCTGTGCAGGGTGACTCGGGGGGCCCGCTGGTGTGCGGGGGGTACCTGCAGGGCGTGGTCTCCTGGGGCCTGGCGGTGTGCGGGCAGCGCGGGAACCCCGGCGTGTACAGCAACGTGTGCCGCGCCAGCGCCTGGATCCGCCGCACCATCGGCCAGTGAGCGCACGGCGACCAGAGTGACCGCAGGGACAGAGTGACCAGAGTGACCAGAGTGACCGCAGGGACTGAGTGACCAGAGTGACCGAGTGACCACAGGGACTGAGTGACCAGAGTGACCGCAGGGACCGAGTGACCACAGGGACCAGAGTGACCGCAGGGACTGAGTGACCAGAGTGACCAACGGGACCAGAGTGACCACAGGGACCAGAGTGACCGCAGGGACTGAGTGACCACAGGGACCAGAGTGACCAACAGAGACCGGAGTGACCACACTGACCGCAGGGACTGAGTGACCGCAGGGACCGCAGGGACCGCAGGGACCAGAGTGACCACAGGGACCAGAGTGACCACAGGGACCAGAGTGACTGAGTGACCAACGGGACCAGAGTGACTGAGTGACCACAGTGACCACGAGTGACCAACGGGACCCAGCCACCCAGCAACCAGAGTGACCACAGTGACCACAGTGACCACAGTGACCAACGGGACTGAGTGACCAACAGGACCGAGTGACCGCAGTGACCAGAGTGACCAACGGGGACCAGAGTGACCAGAGTGACCAACGGGACCCAGCCACCCAGCGACCAGAGTGACCAGAGTGACCACCAGTGACCAGGAGTGACCAGCAGTGACCAGTGGCCATCAGTGACCAGTGACCATCAGTGACCAGCAGTGACCAGTGGCCATCAGTGACCAGTGACCATCAGTGACCAGCAGTGACCAGTGACCAGGAGTGACCAGCAGTGACCAGCAGTGACCAGCAGTGGCCAGTGGCCAACAGTGACCGGGGATTTGGTGGGGAAATAAAGAAAAATGGAAAAAACACGCAGGGACTGAGTGACCGAGTGACCAAGTGACCAACGGGACCGCAGGGACCAGAGTGACCGCAGTGACCAACAGGACCAGAGTGACCACACTGACCGCAGGGACCGAGTGACTGCAGGGACCAGAGTGACCACAGGGACCGAGTGACCAGAGTGACCATGAGTGACCGCAGTGACCAGAGTGACCGCAGGGACCAGAGTGACCAACGGGACCGAGTGACCACAGTGACCATGAGTGACTGAGTGACCGCAGTGACCAACAGGGACCAGAGTGACCAACAGGGACTGGAGTGACCAGAGTGACCAGAGTGACCACAGTGACCGCAGGGACCAGAGTGACCACAGTGACCGGAGCGACCAGAGTGACCAGAGTGACCAACGGGACCAGAGTGACCAGAGTGACCGCAGGGACCGCAGTGACCAGAGTGACCAGAGTGACCAACAGGGAGCAGGAGTGACCAACACTGACCAGCAGTGACCAAAGTGACCAACAATGACCAGCAGTGACCAAAGTGACCAACAATGACCAGCGACCAGCAACCACCAGTGACCACCAGCGACCACCAGTGACCATCAGTGACCAGGAGTGACCAACAGTGACCAGGAGTGACCAACAGCAACCAACGACCACTGACCACCAGGGATCGGAGTGACCACCAGCAACCAACAGCGGCCAGCAACCAATGACCACCAGTGACCACGAGTGACCAACTGTGACCAGGAGTGACAAGCAGTAACCAGGAGTGACCATCAGTGACCAACAGTGACCAGGAGTGACCAGCAGTAACCAGGAGTGACCAACAACCAGTGACCACCAGCAACCAACAGTGACCAGTGACCACTGACCATCAGGGACCGGAGTGACCACCAGTGACCACAAGTGACCAACAGTGACCACGAGTGACCAACAGCGACCAACAGTGACCACCAGTGACCAGCAGTGACCAGTGTCCACCAGTGTCCAGCAGTGACCAGCAGTGACCAGTGACCAGCAGTGGCCAGTGACCAGCAGTGACCGGGGATTTGGGGGGGAAATAAAGAAAAATGGAAAAAACCCCGTGAGATGTGAACTGGGATGGACTGGGGGGGACTGGGAGGGACTGGGAGGGAACTGGGAGGGACTGGGGTCACTTTAAGGAGCGCGGGAAAGCCGCCGCGAGGCATGACGGGAGTTGTAGTCCAGGAAATAAGCTCTCTCTATGGGGCGCGGGGCACGATGGGAGTTGTAGTCCAGGAAGCAACACGGCTCTGTGGGGCGCGGGGCACGATGGGAGTTGTAGTCCCGGAAGAAACACGGCTCTGTGGGGCGCGGGGCACGATGGGAGTTGTAGTCCCGGACGCGGCTGCTTAGCGCCCCCTCTCGGTCACCAGAGGTCACCCTCCATTCAGGGCACTGGTTTGAACTGGGATGAACTGGGAGGGGCAGGGAGGGCACTGGGGTGGACTGGGAGGTTACTGGGATGAACTGGGAGGCACGGGGATCACACTGGGATGAACTGGGAGGGTACTGGGGTGAACTGGGACGGTACTGGGGTGAACTGGGAGGGTACTGGGGTGAACTGGGACGGTACTGGGGTGAACTGGGAGGGTACTGGGGTGAACTGGGACGGTACTGGGGGTACTGGGAGGGCCTGGGGAGAAACTGGGAGCACTGGGCTGTACTGGGAAGGGCGCTTAGAGGCGCTGGGATGAACTGGGCTGAACTGGGCGTAACTGGGAGGAACCGGGAAGGGCACTGGGCTGAACTGGGCTAAACTGGAAAGGGCACTTTGGGCACTGGGAGGGACTGGGATGAACTGGGAGGGACTGGGAGGGACTGGGCTGAACTGGGAGGGACTGGGATGGACTGGGAGGGACTGGGAGGGACTGGGCTGAACTGGGAGGGACTGGGATGGACTGGGAGGGACTGGGAGGGACTGGGCTGAACTGGGATGGGCATTGGGCTGAACTGGGAGGGAACTGGAATTAACTGGAATTAACTGGAAGGGGGAACTGGGAGGGACTGGGATTGAACTGGGCTGAACTGGGAGGGACTGGGATGAACTGGGAGGCCCTGGAAGGGGGAACTGGGCTGAACTGGGAGGAACTGGGAGGAACTGGGAGGGAACTGGGAGGGAACTGGGATGAACTGGGAGGGACTGGGAGGCCCTGGAAGGGGGAACTGGGCTGAACTGGGCTGAACTGGGAGGGAACTGGGCGGGAACTGGAATTAACTGGGAGGGACTGGGAAAGGCACTGGGCTGAACTGGGCTGGGCACTGGGCTGAACTGGTTTGAACTGGTCTGAACTGGGATTTAAAGGCCGCGGCTCCTTCCTCCCCCTCCTCGTCCTCCCGATGGAGCGGCTGCTGCCGCTGCTGCTGCTGGCCACTGGTTTGTACTGGTTTATACTGGTTTGTACTGGTTTATACTGGTTTCGGCTGGGGGGCACTGGGGGGCACTGGTTTGTACTGGTTTATACTGGTTTGGGCTGGGGGGCTGCTGCTGGCCACTGGTTTGTACTGGTTTATACTGGTTTGGGCTGGTTTGGGCTGGGGGCTGGGAGGAACTGGGAGGGAACTGGGAGGGACTGGGAGGCCCTGGAAGGGGGAACTGGGCTGAACTGGGCTGAACTGGGAGGGAACTGGGCGGGAACTGGAATTAACTGGGAGGGACTGGGAAAGGCACTGGGCTGAACTGGGCTGGGCACTGGGCTGAACTGGTTTGAACTGGTCTGAACTGGGATTTAAAGGCCGCGGCTCCTTCCTCCCCCTCCTCGTCCTCCCGATGGAGCGGCTGCTGCCGCTGCTGCTGCTGGCCACTGGTTTGTACTGGTTTATACTGGTTTGGACTGGTTTGGGCTGGGGGGCTGCTGCTGGCCACTGGTTTGTACTGGTTTGTACTGGTTTGTACTGGTTTGGGCTGGGGGCTGCTGCTGGTCACTGGTTTGTGCTGGTTTATACTGGTTTGGACTGGTTTGTGCTGGGGGGAC